GTCTAAAGTAGTGCATAGCTCTCCAGTGCTAATGGAGGTCACGGAAAGCAGTTATGTATATGTTAATTCAAACCATTTGTACAAGTATGTGTCATCTAAAGTCATATTCAAAAGTGACTTACAGTACATAAAACATATACACAGGCTTCCTCTATGAGGTAAGCACTGTTTCAAGTTAACCTGAGGGCTGGTGTCTTTCTGTGCTAAGAATTATCCAGGTGATAATTCCAGACATGACAATGCTCCAGCCTCCCCATTAGGAAAAAAGGAAATTTTCCTATAATTAAATGATATATTCTAATTGCAGCATTACTTTTTCTTCTTTGCTAGCAGACTGGAGTTAAAGTCCATGTTGTGTTCTTTGGGGAGTGGGACTCGATAGCACACAAAAACAAGGAACAAAAACAAAAAAGGCTAGTGTTATGTCCTAAGGCAACATACAGCAAACTTGTGTGTTGTACACACATGAGACATTCAGAATTTAATTCCGTGTAATATTTTAAGTATTTTTTTAAAATACATTTTTCCTGGAGTTTTAAAAAAGCTATAAAATAAATTAAAGGAAACAGCTAATTTTATTCACATTTCCTGATACAGAATGAAAATGCGACAGTTTTACATCAGTAACTCATATTCTACAGTTGTACTGTTCCTGAGAAGAACTGACCTAAAACTCTCAATGACTTGAGGCCAATAGCTCTGACACTGTTAGTGATGAAGACTCTTGAAAAATACACATATTGTCAAATATTGTGGCTGCAACAGAGTCAGATCTTGACCCCTCCAGTTTGCCTACCATTTTGCTGACAAAGCAGGATTCTATTAGATGTGCTTTATAAACATTTCGAGTGGAAAGAATTCTTCAGCCAGATTTCTCTTTACTGATTTTTCACCAGTCTTTAATGCAATGCAGTCAAACATTTTGGTTTAAAAACGTATTACACGTTTGAAATTAGGCCATCAACTTATCACGTGTATCATCATTTTTATGTTGGATGAACTTATTAATGTACAGTAATAATTATTAATGGTTTGGCATATGACCCTGTTTGTATTCCTACTGGTTCACCACAAGGCTGTGTTCTTTCTTCCCTCCTTTTCATCTTGTATTCTGATGACTGTTGGAGCAAATGTGAAAATATTACAACAACTTTGCTGTCACGAGAGCCAGTTTTGACTCCCATGGAGTGCGTCATTAAAGACTCTATGCTGACGGTATAATCCGGAAAAGACGACGGAGGAAGGTACCACGGGGTTAGGATGGGTAGACAGACAGGGGGTGGTGACTGTAGTGATCAAGTGCTCGGGGAAAATGCGGAAGTCCAAGACAAACTGTTAAAAACGGGAACCGGCACAGGAACAGGAACTAAAAACATAACGGGACCAGGTGCTCTGCATCCCGGACCCAGGCGGTCAGGATGCCGGGGAAAAGTCCTGCCTTCGGACAACCTGAAAAATAGGCAAGCCTAATAGCCTTCATCTTCCAATACTGAGCCAGGAACTGCAGAGACGCTAGGCTTTTAACCAAAAACCAAACGAGATGCACCAGGAAATAATAGACACTAATCATAACAGAAAGGGGTAATAGCGCCCTCTAGAGGAGAGATGTGGAACGTAACATGCTGATAACGGTGATAGTCGGTCTTCTCTCAGAGCCGACAGAGAGAAAAACACAAATACCCATTCTGGACAGATGTGTCGACTGGTGTGGTATTTATTACTTTGAGATGAATATGTCACAAAGAAATGATTGTTGATTAAAAAAAAACAAAGCAATATCATTCCCATAACAATCCATGTTGAGTCTGTTCGTGTAGTTCAGTGTTACAAATGCTTACCACTTGGCTTGACAATAAACTTAAGTTCACTAAGAAAACTGATGTCACTGGGCAGAAATCCCAGGAGCATTTATATGGCTTGAGAAAATGTAGTTCCTCTGGAGTCCAAAAGGGCATTCAACATTTTATAGCTGTTTTATCAAAAATATTTGACCTTTTCCTTTCTGTGTCCGTTCATAAAGACAAAAGCCGTCTTTGAAATCTTGTGAACCTCAATTCTAAAATTGCTGGTGAGCCTTTAAGACAACTGGCACAGTTTTATGTCCAGCAGGTCCAGAGGAAGGCCTATGCCATCATTGGTGGCTCATCTCGTATTCACTTTTTGCTGTCCACAGTGCAAGACAAATAGAAGAAAGTTTAGCTTTGTTCCAGAGCCTTGCAAACAATGAGTGTATAAAAAAGTTTTATCAATATGATTTGTATTGGATAGAGTTCATTTTCATAAATATCCAATAGAAATTATTATAATTTTATTTTGTAGTACAGGACAGTCTTACAATGCACAAGCACTCTGTACTTTCAAAAGGGACCATTTGCTGTTTTTGTTAATTTTTTATTTTATTTTTTCTTAGAAATGTAGCGATACCATATTTTTTACCTTTTTTATTTGGAATGTGTAATATTTTGCACTGCTTGTTGTTTAAATTACCACCATTGGGATGAATAAAATAAATTGAATTTAACTGAACTGAATATTGTACATACATATTGTTATACATACTCATTTTAAATAGTAAGAACTCAGATTTGTTGATTGTTTGCATGGTATTGCTCTTTATCTTCACAAAAACAGATCAAGCCATGGGGTTTCAGAGCAGGGTTTCTAGGTGCTCAGTGTTTGCTATTTCATTTGAATTAAAATTTCAGACAGATTAAATCACTGTCGTCTGGCCAGAGGGCAGTGGCAGAGAAAGTGGTGGAGTTTTAATTCACCATTTTACCCTTGACAACCCTGACAGAACTTTGGTCATTTCCTTAAGTACAGTACCTAATTTTCCTCCTTGCACTTTAGTGTTTTCAGTTACGAGATTGATTCATAAAGAGATTAATTGAAAATTGACATAAACCCAGTGGGGCGAGATCTGAGAGAGATGTAAGGAGAATATGACAAAGGTTCAGACTGTTGCTAGGTGCTGCATGCTCTCACTTTTCTCCTCCATCTTGCCTGATAGAGAAAGACAGCATCAGGTTCAAAGAATTCTAGTCATCATGTGGTCCAACCAAGACTGCCTAGAGGGAATTAAGCCACTTGTGATTTGCTGAGTAATAAATGGGCTGGTAACCTATTTAATTTATGTTCTTTGATAAAATGATCAAATTATTGTTTTGTTTTACAGGCAGAGATCTGTGTCAACATTTCATGCTTAATTGTGCATAGTACAATACAGAACATACATAACAGTATATGACAAGATATATACAGTATATCTCACATTAATTTAGAGTTTTGAATTTGACTGATTTCACTTCCTATGATTAATTTTGCCTTGAATATGAAATACTTTTATTCTATTTGCTTTCTGTGAATCATTTGTTGAGCAAGTATTGAGGCAGAGATTCAGGGATCACTCGTGCCCATTTCTGTGCCTTTTCAGTTTCTTTGCATTGTGCAGTTGTTGGTTCTGTCACTGGGATTGCTCTGTACTTTTCCATTTTTCAGCCATAGACTTAGTCTGAAAAATAGTCTAGATTCTCTTATTAACTTGCTTCTTTGGGAGTGCTGCCTTTTTTTCCGTTTTTTTGTCTACCTGCCATGGAGGGATTTTTTTGGTGCTCAGTTAAGTTTTATTGATTTTCCTCTTTTTGCGCACACATTTAGGATATGGCTAGCTGGACCTGTGCCACTGCGTTCAGTACAGAACAGAGCATTAGAAGAGACACCCAGAGGAACTGTACCTATTATATATGCATTTCTTTAGCCAAAGGGTCACGATTGTCTGTGTCAAACATACCATGCAACTATGATTCACATTGCTGTTTGCTTGCATGGTATAGTAACAGAACAATGATGTAGATATCTACACAAAAATGAGGATCCATTGAAAAAAATGCTAACTTCAAAAAGGCAAAGTGCAGGGGGTCCAGTGCATTTGCTGAAGAGATGTAAATTACTCCAAAAAATGCAGACTAGAATTTATAATCTGAACAGTTACAGTTTATAATCTGAAGCAGGTTTTAGTGTGACAGACCTGAGGATGAGAATAAATTTACACTTTCATTTACTTTACGTTTAACAAAATAATGACAGATGAAAAGAAGTTCTGAGCAGAACTTCTCTTAATCTTTAAGTATTTTTGAAACATTTCACGTGTATATCAAAGATGAGAAACTGTAAATGACTGAATATAAACACTCATAGACTGCTGTTTTAACAATAACATTTTTCTTGTACTAGACTTGCTCTCTATGCTGTAGACTTATGCTCTAATGAACTATGTTGTGACAACACATTAGTGTGTGATTTGTGATGTCTTAATCTTTATTTACTTAAAAGTAAAGAGCAATTTTAATTGTTTAAAAAACACTTCCAAACTTTGAGGTTTTATATTGGTTATGATAGACAAAATGCTTAATAAGGTTTTGGTTAGTAGACCACATTACAGTGTATTAAAAAAACTTAAGACATTTATGTTGTTTTTGTTTTTAGAAGTCAGCACTTGACGATACTTAATACATAATATTAAGAAGTCAGAGTGTTAAAAGTTCCCAAACTAACCTAGTAAACATTGTTGTAGCATTGTGTAAGTGTTGTACTTTTGCTGTTACATACAGTAAAAATGTATGTAACATTTTACTGAGATCCTCTGGAGTCTACACATTTGCATTGTCACAACAGTTCTGTACACTTGTGTCTCTTAAGGTATTTACACAACATTATTTGATTTTTAGCATTTCTTTTAATCTTTCACTGTGGACCAATCCAGTATGACTAGGAATATATCAGGTTGCTCTTCTCTGAAAAAAGACATGTATCCTAGTGACAAATAATACATAAAGTATTGTAAATGAGGATTTACTAGTGCATTGTACAATATTAACATAATTTAATTCTATAAATCCCCTTGATTTAATTTCCACACTATTAGTTGTATATTTTTCTTTCTTCTTGTTTCCCACTAGTAACTAGAAGATTGAAATGGTGTCATTTATTTTCTTTTGCAGTCCTGAGATTGTAAAGAGCGAGCCCTATGGAGAGAAAGCTGATGTCTGGGCTGCTGGATGTATCCTTTATCAGATGGTCACACTCAATCCACCCTTCTACAGCACAAACATGCTTTCTCTGGCCACGAAGGTAAGACCCCGAATAAATGTATTATAGTTATTCTGAAACGTTCGGGCTGATACCAGGCAGTGCAGTTGGTTGGTCCATTCAATGTTTCACGCGGAGTAGTGCCATCCAAGAACCAGATGCTTTGCGAATGTTGTGAAAGAGTATTTAAGTACAATACGTTTTGGCTTAACCTGTAGTTGATAGCCTCCTCGTTTTGGCTTAACCTGTAGGAGATAGCCTCCTGGCCAAAGGAAAAAGAGTCTCAAGACCCCATCAGAGAGAGAAATAAACCCAGGGCTGTAAAGATGGAGAAAGGGGTGGGGGGAATGGTGTGTGCAGGAGTTATATGTATATAGAAAAAGTCAGGAATAGTTGCAGTATAAAACAACTGGTTGAGATTGGCTTGTCTGTCATTATCCCTCCCACACATCAGTTAAGTACTGCCATATATTGTTAATATATCTTAAATTGATTTAGTAATGTACAGTACTAATGCACATTATCATGACAATAGTCTGGACTTTCAGAACAAGATTCATGTGTAACGATCTCATGTCTAAGGACCCTATGCGGAATCCTCCGAACGTAAATTTTCTTGTGGACGCAAATCCAAATTCTTGAGTCCAAAGTGCAGGCCAGGGTCAAAAGGCAGAAAAATCCACTGCAGTCAACTCGAGAACCAAGTGACGTAGTCAGTAAACAAGCCGAGGTCGAAATCCGTAAGAGATGTACAGGACCGATGTTGCTCTAGCTAGGGAAAAACCTAATACTGAGCAAGGAGTGGTGTGTCAGGCTGGTTTAAGTAGACAGGGGGGAGAGTGTGTCTGATTAGTTAATTAGAGACTGCACTGGATGGGCTAAGAGGATGGAAAATATAAAAATCTGTCAGCCTTCCCTTGTGCAACAGTCTCTGATTACTTCTGTCATGTGCTTAGGATGTAACAGTATGAAAAAATACATCCTTGTTTTTCTGGAACTGCTGTGCTAGAGGGTGAAGTAACCACCTCTCAGCAGACTGCCTACAGCAGAATTGCCATCAGTTGGAGAAGTGATTAGGCTAAATAACTTATAGTATTGCAAGTTCCCAGGTTCATGACAAGTCACAGAGTTTGTTGCTGAGTGGTAAATTGAGAATATCATGGCCAACTGAATCATGACCACACCTGAACTTTTCCGCAGATGCCGCCACATTCTCACGACCACAGATAATCAGACACCGCCGCATTAACTAATCATCCAATCGCACTTCTCACCCTTCACCACACCCTCTGCCTCCCAGCATACTTAAGGGCTCAGTTCTATCATCTCAGTGTTCAGTATTGTTTTTTTTACCAGTGGAGCTCCTGTTCCTCGCTTTTCAAGTAACTCCTGACCATCGCTGTTATCTTGATCCCCCAGCTTTCTGACCTGTGCCTGAAACTTGACGACGATTCCTGATCCCTGATTACACCTGGCTTTTCTCTGTGTCCATTTCCCTTCTCCCTCTCCTCTACATGAGAGGGCACTAGTAATTATTCTCATAGGGTCCATGCTATGTTTTTGGCTATAGAACCTTATACATGTGTCACGTTCGTAAACCCCTCCTCTTAAGGACGCTCCAGCCCTTCCTTGTTTTCCACTCATCTCCCACTCCTGCTCCCTGTTCCAGCCCCCTTTTCATTTCTCCTTAACATCCATGCGCTCACTCTATTCCGGGCTCTGCTCTGGTTTCCATACCAGGCGAGTCCGGGACCTGGAAGCGCCTGGTCCCGTCAAGGTTTTAGTTCCCGTTCCCGTGCCGGTTCCGACCTGGTTCCCGTTTTTAAATCTTGTTTGTCCTGGATGGACCGCCCGGTTTTGGACTTTTGCCTCCTCTTGTATTCCCCCTTGGACTTTCTTCTGGATTGTTTGCCTCGGCTACACCTCCCCCGAACACCAGCGTATCATGGACAAGCCCCGTTTTCATTCCCGACCCCTCCATGTTTTTTTCCCCATGTTTTCCCCACTCATACCCGGATTGTGTCGCCTGCACAGGGTCCTGAAAGAACCCTATGCAAGGTTCAAGTTTCAAGCACAGGTCAGAAAGCTGGAGGATCAAGATAACAGCGATGGTCAGGAGTTACAACATGATAGAACCTAGGCAATTGTTAATCTCAGTTACAGTACACTGAAGTAGCCCAGGCTTACAGGGTGATGTTAGGTTACAGGGCTCAGTTCTGTAGTTTTTGTGTTTGTACACAGATACTGTATAAGGGTTGTCAACTTTTAATTTCCAGTCTTTAAGGAATATTTAATTTTATTACAGTCTGTTAATCCCCCAAAAATTTAAATGGAGCAAGGTTTTCTGTCTGTACAACAAAGTTAATTTTTTGAATATGAATATATTTGAATTGTTTGAAGCAAGAATTCTATCAAGCAAAAAAAGAAATAAATGTATTTAGTATGCTGAGTTACCAATTGTTCCCATGTTCATTGAATCACAAAATGAACTATAAGATAAAAAAAATTGACAAAATTTAAAGTTAAATTTAACATTGTACATTTACACAATCAATCTAAATGTGCTAATCATTTTTTTTTCTTGTAGATAGTTGAAGCTGTTTATGAGCCAGTTCCAGAGGGAGTTTTTTCAGAAAAAGTGACAGACATCATTAAATGGTAATCTGGCCACTGTGTTGTGTGGTTCCACTTCATCTGGCTCTGCATACAGCTGCACTGATTTTTAGTACAAACTAGTTTCATGGTTTAAATATAGCTGTCATTGAACTTGTGTGCATCAAGATATACAGTATCATCCTCTTTTCATCAATGGCTTAAGAATGTTGTTCAAATTTGTTTTTGAGAGACAATAGGAAAACAGAAATAACAAGCTGACAGGAATACAAAACTGATGGAAATAGTTTGTGGCTAAATTGCTAACCTCCTTGTTACGACCCCAAGTGTCTAGGGGAAAAGGGGTGTAACATTTAGGATAATTATTTTGGAAGCAGGGGGGGGTTTTGGTAAGGGACTAGGAAGCGTGATAACAAGAGTAAGGAACTAGAGTGGTGCCATAGGAAAGAAAATAACAAACAAAAATGGAGCTGGCTAGGACAGTGAGGGAAAGCTAATCTGACTACAAAAGAAAACCCGAAACACACGGTCTTCGGCGTCTTCAACACCCTAGCCAATCTGCACTGACCCAAAACCATACAAGACAAATGGCACTCACCCGTACTAATTAGTGTACTAATACAAAATCAACTAAGTGTGTAAAGTGTACCCAACAACCTAAACTAACCTTATATACAGAAGTTCACACAAAAACACAAGTGAACCAGGAATACAAATAAGGGAAAACAAGAGTAATCAACAGGAGCAGGGTACAAAAGAACACAAAAGTTGAACATGTAACACTGGGGCAAGGTAATGACAAAACAAGGATGAACACACAAACAAACAAAAGTACAAAGAAACGAACGTAAAACCAACAAAACAACAAAGCCGAAGCTATACGAAAATAAACACACACAAAGCAAAACAAACCAACAAACGAAGCTGAAGCAATAACCAGCAAATCGATAACCAAAACCAAACGGGACCAAAGTCAAACGAAAAGCCTTTTCTTCCTGAAAGCCTCCATGTTATATAGTGAATAAAATAAGTTCTGATTGGCTGAAGGCTGATTTATGATGACATCATATTGAAACAGTGGTGTGATGGTTGGCCAATGGGGAAGGGAGAACAATCAAGGGTCAGCAGTGTGGACATAACAGAAAAACACACACAGAACACACACTGGGACGTAAGACTCCTGTTATCTTGGTGTTTGAAAATAAAGAAGAAAGATAGTATGTTAATGAACACCGTGGGAGCATACACAGTTGGCTAGGCCCATTTCTGAATCAAGGAAGTGCCTGGTCCCTTGGTTTATTACCTGCCATAGGCTTGTATCTATAGAAATACACAGACAAGTCTATCTGACAATAAATAAATCAATATGTTAATGATTGTTCATCTCTAATATGAGTGAAAACTAGATCTTAGTCTTACCGATAATCAAACTGCGCTACTTTGGAAGGTTTGGACTACTTTTCTGTTAATCTGAATACCTAATTGAAAAATGAGTGTGTTGAGATTAGGGATAGTCAGTGGCTTTGCTGTTGTTGTACTGTGTATAATTGAATGATTGGATTCTGATTGGTGATTAACAATCTTAAATATAGGAGATGAAACATACTGTTGACTCTGAGACTATGAATTACAATTTGCAGAACAGGTCATACCATGTTTTAGTCACTATTAGGTTTACTATTAGGTTTAGTGATTTTGTTCTTTAAACTTAATTTCTGTGTGCATTTATAGGTTGTCCACACTGTAAGTGATATCTTGATATCAAGAGACATTGGGCTTGGTTTGAGGGTGCTCTTGACTGGAGATCTCATATATCAGTCTGTGTTAGGCTCAGAACCTTCTGACCTCCCCATTTGATAAAATGTTCAATAAAAAAGGATTCTTGTACTGTTGAGACATGAAAATGTTTAGAAATAAATGTGTTGTAAATAATTCCCCAGGTGTTTAACCCCAGATGCTGAGCTCAGGCCAGACATTGTGGAGGTCAGCACCAAGATGTCGGATGTCATGATGAAGTATATGGATGGTCTTTGCACCTCTCAGCTTACCTTGGAGAAAAAATTAGACAGAGAACGGAGACGCACACAGAAGTACTTCTTGGAGGCAAATAGAACTGTACTGAGCTATTGTCACTTATCACCAACATTACCAAAGGTGAGATATTTTGTAATATATTCAGAATTTTTCTTTCAAGACATAGCTACTACTATAATGTGGTCTGGCTAACAGATTTGTTCAATTAAGGTTAACTAGAGAGCAAAAGCAATAAAAAGCACATCTAACATTTCTTTTGAAGGAATAAGCCTGATTGTTTGAGGGTGTCTAAAACATTGTCAAAGTGTGGAAAAGATCAAACTCAGTAGGGTGTAGTTTTAACCTCCAGTACTTCAAATCTCAGAAATATCTGCTTTGTGGAGACAACACACAAAGTTATAGCAGAAGGGGAATTCTGATTGCTTGTGTCAGTTAAACTCTTAGAACTAGAAAAAAACACTTTGACACTTCAACTGCATTTCTCAATAACACTCACTAAGCTCTTAAAATTCCACCTTAAATCTGCATGGCATTTTATTAGAGTAACTCGATTAAAGATGACAGATAGCTGGTCTTTTTGGAGAAAATGTGAAGATATTGTGGAAATACCTGTTTAATATGTATTTAGATAAATCTTTGTTTTTTGTACATCAGGACGTTTGTGATAAATCTAGCAGCACAAGAATTAACAGTGAATCTGCCAGTTTTAAGAGTGAATCATCAGACTCAGCTGAAACTTCATCATGCACCTTTCAAGCCAGCACAGGAAAAGATGGAGAGGAGAGACCGAACAATGGTGATTTTCCACTTGAAAATTCCGTTTCAGTGAGTGCTGAAAAGGGTATGTGCAGCCTTTGTATTGGCAAACGAATGAATGTCTTTCAAATGTAAATTGCTTTTAGATTTGATAAAGCTGAACAAATGAGTTGGCAATAAGCGAACCAGATGCACAACAGTATTTATTTAGATATTTATTTGGTTGAAATTTAAAAAACAAATTTACAACACTGAAAGCCCTTATTCTTTTCTCATTGCCTTTTTTGTTACTTAATGTATTTACAAGTTCATGGCATTACCAGTTTGTGTTTTTACTGTCATTTGAAATGGCCAAATTAACTAAAGCTGATGAGGTTCTTTAAGTCTCAGAGCTTAGCCAGTCTTTTTTTTTCATTATTGATTTCTGGAAAACTATGTTCATTCTGAACTGTGGTTCAGCTGAACTGGCCTAGCTTAGCCTGTTCAGAAGGATTCACTGGACCCTGATAAAGAGTCATTTTTTGTGACCTCTGGAAATGTCAGGGCCACCTTTGTCTTGCACAGCAGTCTTTTTAAATAAGATCAATATCTTGGTATAGCTGAAATTCCAAATGGCTATGTCTTAAATGCATGGTGTACCAGATTTATAGTGCTTTGATAGAATATTGCTACTGTAGAACTAATGAATATGCAATTTTTGTTAGGCTTAATACCTATTTCACCCCTGGTGTATATACAGTGATAGTTTAGAATAAAAAGTATCTTCTCCAACCTTCCTTATGTATCTCATTACAAGCCTCCCATTTTATAACCTGATGGAACTGGAGACACATACACACAGTCTTTTGAGATCAAGTGTTGTCAGTTCAGTTTACATCTTTTTATATATCAAATTAAACTAAAATCTAAAGATTAATTCTGTGCTAGGTCAGTTAAAGAGTGATGTGTTTGCAGCAGAACTGCGCCTAAAACGTACCTGTAAATAGCAACAGTGGGAATAAACTAAGCATTTATTAGTGAATCGGTACAGCTACAATTTTGATTGGTTTATAAAAGTTGTACCTGTTTGTAGTTGGATTTTTTTTCACGTATGCTTTGTTTTCAGTTGGGATAACCTATATTATAACCTTCTGATAGGTGTTTCACAAAGCAAGATAATTATTTCACAGCATAAATGTACAGTTAAAATAAAATCATTTCCAGCCTAAAACATATTAACAGTGATTACACAAAAGATACAATAAAAACTGTTAATCATTTCCTTCAAAAGAACTTTTTAAATGTGTGTATTACCTAGACTTAGAAGTTCATAATCTACAGTTTCCATCATCACAAGTTATCAGACATCATAACACGTGTTTGGACCCATAGGTCATGGTGACTGAAATAAGGCACATGTTCTTTTGCTTGTGTGGATGATGGATTTAATGCTCCACTCTCCTGCCTTCTAAAGTGTGCTGTGGATGCACAATTACTTAGATTGTTTAAGTTTAACCGGACTTTAAGCGGGTAACTGAAACCAGAGTTTTCTGTAGTGAAACTGGAGCAAACCTGAAGTCAGTTATCAAGTTAATTCAGTCTGGCTAGCCTGCTTTGTGAAATACCCCCCTGGACTTCACATCTTATGGATGTTTTGTGCCTTTGGGACTACCCTGGTAAGGATAGGATGTCACAGATTGATAGAACACAGGCCAAGCCACCTTTGACACTGGAAAGCCCCTATCCTGGCTGTGCCCTAGAACGCAATCTACCAGCACTGAATTTGAACCAACAAGGCCCATGTTTCAGGCTCACCTCAGACTGTGGACTGAGGTTTATGTCAATTGACCTACTCAACACAATTGTTTTCAACATGAAACAACATTAATGGATTGATAATATTAAGGTGATAAAGCAATTGAATCCCTATGCATGTCACAGTCATTTTGACCAATAAAAAGCAAGCTGATATTTGAATTTTATTATAACTTTAATCCCTCCACTGCTGTTTTAAGTACAGGCAGCCCCCATTATAAGTTGCCTAGATATAAGTCACTTCGCACTTGCTTTGTCGATGAATTGAAGAACTTGCATGAAGAAATCCCCACACTTAAGTTGTTTTTCAAGGCACCAGTAGCCAACAATGTAGGTGGATTCTGGATTATGTCATTCCAGAAATGAAAAAAATATTGTGAAGATCAAAATCTAAAATAAAAAAATATTTTTCTTGTAGACAGTGCTGTTGCACGTGTTGTGATTATGAATCATTGTGCCACAACGTTAAAGTTGAGTTCTTATCACTATGCACTACACTGTTGATCCAATCAATGGATCCAGGTGTGATTGCTCATTTTAAATGCATAAACAGTGTGTGGAAGAAATCTACCCTGAAGCAGCAAATTACTTTGTTGGTTTGGATGAGACCACAATTTGGAAGGAGTGGGTGATGCTATTTCTAATTATTGTTTTTTTTATGGGTTATAGGTACATAAAAGGTATGTACCACTATCTGAGCTGTATGTTGGAAGTGTATCTCATAATCATTCTTTGTGGATATAAATGTCCCCTTTTAAGGCATCCTGCTATAAGTTTCATTATTTAGGAAGGCTTTTTTAGTTAGCAAAATAAAAAGTGAAACACACACTTATTCTAAGTTATGGTCCTCAACCTGACTATATATACTATAGGGAAAATTTCCCCGATGTCCTGTAAGTCGTTTTGCTATGTCATGAGTTTCTGTTCCCTAACCCTGACATATACAGTATCGGGAATGGCCTGTGCTATTTGTTTTTATTCTCTAAACATCACACATCTTGATCTTTCATCCGGATCTGACTTTATACCCCGCAATATTCTCAACTGAATCCCTAACCTTCTCCCAAGTCATAATCTACCTGTAGAACCTAACCAGAGCCCCAGCTCTAGCCCTGAACCTACTCTTAACATCATTTCAGCTTTAGCCTGTAATTAATTTAACAAACAACTGTATAACCACAATTCTAGATTTACTTTTCATCTTAACAATAGTTAGAGACCTGTTTACTGCACATTTTATTTTATAATAATGAATGTGAATTGTGAATGGTATATTCCTTTTTAATGCTTTGTGTGTCTATGAATGTACATGTGTATACTTAATTTCTTTCTAAATACTGTATATAATGTGCTTATTATAGATATTGGTTCTGATGAAGACCCGGATACATCTGATACTTCTAACAGTTCCACGTCAAGCCCTAGTAAAGATTTAGCTTTGAGTAAGTGCCACAGACTGATTGGCTCGATTGCTTTAATGCTGTGCTAAAGGGAGGTTTAAGGTAGACAGAAGTTCAGTGCCAGCCCTGGGCAAAGAATACAAATCAAGGAAATTGCAATTTTACTGAAACAGGAAAAAAGAACAAAAACAAGCTGTATCTAATGTATTTAGAATTTTTCAAGGAAGTAATTGAGTTATTGAAATAATAATATAAGGAAAGCACATTCATAAATGCTATTACTCTTCTATTCTTGAGCTGTCTAGTACTTAAGAATGCAGTATTTTGTATGACAGAAATAGCAGTAAAGAGAGTGTTGGGCTGATGTAAGTTTTGCATCAGTTTTTGGAATAACTCAAGGTTTACACATTTAAACGTTACAAGTGTTGTATTTTTGTAACAGTTATGAACTTACTGTTGCTGTTTCTGTAAAGCAATGTTATTTTTATGTTAATAGCTTAGCTTTGCACACTTTGTAATAGGAATTTCCAGAGTGCCCAAGCAAATGTGAAAGTTGCACAGAGAACACAAGAGATAGGTTAATTTCCAGAGGTTAATAGACAGAAGGGAAAGAAATATCTGGAGTCACAGCTTAAGTATTAAGTAAACGTATTGCATCATTAAAATAGAGTGAGATGATGTAAGCTAAAATAAGTCAATCGGAAATTATAGATTTACTGTGCTAAATTAAGGAGAATAAAACCCCTAAAAGGATGGAGATGGGAAGATAAGAACGTCCAGTAACATGCCATGATACAGTGATTTAAGATATAATGCAATGAGGTAAGACACCTATGTTTTAAATATAGGTAATAAAAGTTAAGATTGCTGGGATTCTGGGGTGAACTATGATCATGGTTTCCAGACAAAAGCTTGTGAGTCTTCTCATCTTTGTCTTTGTATCATTATGCACATTATATCTTTTTTACCATTTTTACCAAAAGGTATAATTAACGGAAGATCGAATGAGAAACCTAGACAAAAGCATTTTCAGTGGAATAAAAAAATATCTTAAAAGTCAATCGAAATCCAGTCACGTGGGATGTGAGTCTTGGTCTTTAGCTCTCGGATATACTGAGTTGTGCAAAAGATTAATCTACAGTTATTTTCTGGTACAAAATAGCATTTTCCCCATTTCTTAATGTGTTTTTATCTATTTTGTGGTGCATTGTTGTGTTTTTGTGATGCTTTTGTAATGCAATAAAGAATAACCTGACTTTCAGGATAAAAGCATAAGAATACTGAGCAGTATTTTGCACCTTTAAATTCGGAATTTCTCATAGCTGGCAATCCTTGAAGGAATTTGATTTAGGGGAGAAAATCATGCAATACTGTGGAGTGTAAAAAACATAGTTTGATAGATCCTCCAGATATTTGTCCATTTGGGGGGATTTTTGATTCATAGCCAATTACATGCCAAGACTTCTTAAGTGATATAAACTGGTTGATACTGTATGTCTTGTGCATTTACAAAATTTTGACCTGCTCAGACTCTCTGGCCTATCTCAGCATGGATTATTTCTTCAGCAATTAAAGAACAGCCTGCTATACTGAAACAGTGAAGCTAGGCAAAGTTTTTTGATCTCTTGAGGGCGTGTGCTAAATTTAGGAGTAATATAACTGTTCTTAGCTGATATAAAAAAAAAAAACGTTATACATTATACGTTTTTCACAATTGTTCCTGCCAGTACAATTATTAATTCATAGGCTAAAACTAGCTTGGATGCATATAAAGAGCCTTGGATCTCAGAAGTCATGTATGTTTAATCTTATTAGATCAAAGAAAATGTACTAGATAGTCTTTTCTTTAAACAAGTCTGACACTGACCATACTTAATACAAAATACAATATTATATTAAAATAGAAGCAAGATTTTATCCATTATCTACTCTCTCATTCCTGTCTGAACTAAAATAGATATTTTTGGAGTTTTGGGAATTAACATTTTTGTTTTTAAACACATTTGCCCTGCATGCATTGTATAATCGCTTTTGTTTGCTTACAGAATTAATAAAGCGAAGTATTAGCACTTCAGGGACTGAGAGATACCATACAGGGTGAGTTTTGTTCAGATGCACAAATTAGTTTCTGTCTGTGAGTTTTCTATTTTCCTTTTCCCCTTGTTTAATACAGCAACAAGAATACTTGTGAAAGTACATACTGTACAGTATATTATCTTCAGAAAATTACCTTAGCGATGCACACAATTAGTTGAGTGGCCTCTCTCTGTGTGCAACAATTGTGGTTCACATGATTTCTGAATAAATACAACTAGTATCTCAGTAAGGTCTTTCAGTCGGGTACTGAATTTTTAAAGATTCATGTGAAGATTAAGGAGCTATAACTCTGGAATAATGTAAAGACAAGAAGTGGAAGGTGTGTCATATTAACCAAAAACTGCCTAGAACAGGCTGTTCCTCAATACGTAGCAGTCAACCAGGAAACTATTTAGAGATGCTAGTGTGAGGCCAAACTTGTAACATGTTTGTCTAAATACAAAATGTTATGTCTAGTGCAACCATCAGGCACATTACCCAACATTAAACGTTACCTGTACTATCAAGCATCAGTACAGTCAGCAGTATGGTGGTGGCAGCAATTTATGTGGCTGCTTATCATCAGCAGGGACTTAGAAGCTTGTAAAGACTGATGAAATATTATAGTAAAGTACATGAAAATCGTACAGGAAAACCTGCTTCAGTCTGCTAAAGACTTAAAACTGGGGTTAAAATTAATTCACCAAATGGGGTATCACAGGAAGGGGCTGAATACGTTTGTAAGGCCCTGTATATTAATATACCTTTATTTATAGTATATATGTTTGATTTTCTTGGTGGTCTTTTTTTAAACTGTGGCAATTTGTTGGTAACTTTCCTTTACCATTACTGTTATGTGTTACAGATATAGCGGTGAACTGAAAATGTCCAGGTGTGAATTAATATTTAAATGATAGAGCTAACATTACTTTTGGGGACAATCTGGAGTGTGAGTGTGATTATATACACAGTACACTGTAAAGAGACGCCCCCTTTGTAGAGATATGGATAGCATAAATAATTAAAGCTGGCTTTTCTGATCAAGAAAATGTAAATTACCCAAAGCTCACCAGAATCTAAATTCTGTGCACCCCTTTTCATGTTAAGTTCACATGCAACAAGATAGTATTAATATCTTCTTTCAATATGAAAATATTATTTTATATTTGCATGGTAACTATTTTTCTTTATAACCTGCACCAATATCTTTGATAAACTCATCTGGCATCTGATTACATCATGCTTGGGTGTTAAGGCAATATATTTTGTTTATAGCTCTTTATTTAAAAAGTGTTTTTAAGTGGTACTCACCAATAAATCTCAAATCTACTACCATGTTCAATAAAATCCAGAGCGGTATGAAATTTACAATAAGAGGTGTATAATAGTTCTGTAGAAAGTGGATGAAATCACAAACTTTGTTGTGAAACTGTTATGCATTCTTTTCATGTAAGATTTTTCTATTGATTATTTCAACACTTGTACTTTTTAGATGTGGAGACTTTACTCTGCCAATAACCAAACCCAGACCAGGTAATCTACACACTCCTTTTTGATTAATAGTGTCAATTGTCCAGATTTTGTAAAAATTTGATTGAAAGTGTTTTGTTTCTCTCTCTCTTTAGTTCCGCTTTCCTTTGCTTCTGTTAAGTCAGTGGCCTCCAGGGAAGGACAGCAGACAGTAGGACACAAGTGTCCTAGTCTCCCAGCAATAATATTTCATAATATCACTCATCACGGTAGTACTAGATACTTAAGTCCAATAAGAATTACAACAGAAGGTTGGCTCATTTATTATAGCCATTTTTGGTACTCAAATGTATTGCAAATTGAAACAATAATATAGCAATAATTATGCTTTAAGACACAAACTATTTAGACTTTTAAGATGATTGATAGAACTTTATTATGCTATTACAGGTATGCAAAAGTGTGAAGGTTTTATAGAAAGACAGAGTATGAGATGTCCCCTTACTATTAGCTATGCTCTTTAGAAGAATCAGGTTTTCTTTTTGCATGTTCAAAGAATTCTAGTAAGGTAGTTAAGACCTTACGTTTAAAAAATCTATGTTGCCAGTCCCTTAAAATGCCATTTAAAAATATTCTTCTAAGTTTAGTTCTGTCTTTCCTTGGAATTTACAAGTAACAGCATTAAGTCTTGGTCTATAGTTTCTCATTTCTATGTTACTTTGTTTGTCCTCCTTTCTAGGAATTGCTGCAAATACAATTTGCTAATGAGTGAGAATATTTCACAATATTTCAAATACCCTGATATAAAGTAATAGCATCCCTTATTTCCTTACGTAGAACTCAGAAAGTACTTTTAAAGTCCTGATTTTGATTTGTTTGTTTTAAGTTGTCCTAGTCTCTGTAATACCTCACTGCCAGTTCTACTAAAATTACTCAATATTGATGGAGCTCCTTTTGTATCCTGGAGCATTCACTTGACATATTCTTTTGTAAAAGCTGGTATGAAGTATACTTTTAGCACATTTGCTATTCCTTTTTATCTTCTATTATTAATCCTATATTATCTAGCAAAGTACTTCAAATTTACATTTTTTGACAGTTTTGAGAAAAAGATTTGTTATTAAAAGTGGCATTATTTTTAGCCTCTGCTTTTCTTTCCCGTCTCTCTGTCCACAATTTTGATATCTGTTTTAATTTGTGCCTGTAGTTGGATGTATTTTGATCTATTTTGGAATTTTGGCCTCTTTTATGCAGTCTGTAGAGCATTATTTTCCTTCTATTGTTTCTTACCCTTTGCAATTTTATAGTTCGTTTTTCTGAAATTGTCATTTTTAGATTCAGCCTTCAGAGATTACAATTGTGCATCAGCTCTTGCTATGTTATGGGCACAGTTCTTCAGAGGTTCTTTCCATTTATTCAATCCTGGTTCTTTGAATAGAATACTACATGAAATAAGATCATTGCCTTTAGAAAAGGGTTAAGAAGCAATCAAATCAACCATTTCAACCATATCAATTACAACGTTTTCATTTCTCATCATTATATTCCTATATGTGTGTGGGAAGTTGATATCACCCAATAACTACTATGTTACTTTGCTACAGTACCTATCATCCTTATTTCATTATACATTGAACTGTTTGCAGTGAGTTTGGTGATCTTTAGCACTCACTCATTGTAGACATTTGGAAATGTTGTTTTTCAGTTTAACTCATATACTGTAGATTCAAAACTGCACCCAGTTTATGTTCACTAGCTCACATGTTATTTTTGATATGTAGTCCCATGTTATTGCCCATTTTATCCTGCCTGTTTTTTTAAAAGTACACTCTTTAATTTTATATGCAGCTTCATTCTATATCATACAGGATAAACAATGCTTTAAAATACCTTAATGTACATTTGTGTTTTACAAAGGTATTTTCAAACACTTCAGAAATACAAGCTTGTCCACTTTTGTCCATATTGTAATGTAGGAGAATTATATATTATACTTAGAGTATGTAAAAAGTACAGTTTCAGTTTTTTTTCTCAAATAGTGGTGTCCAGACTTCTGCAAACATACAGTATATCAGCATACAGTACAGTATTCAGCATTTATAACTCAACAACATTCAGTTCACTGTATACTCCTAGGAAACAACTGATTCTTATTTAGAGACCAACATTTGTCAACTATGGTGAACATGGAAGGATTTAAAAAAATGACAGTTACATGGTTTCAAATAGTTCGCATTAGTCTAACTGAAAACCATTAGCGACTTTCGGTCCCTCAATTTTGTTGTCAAAATTAGTCTGCTGCATATACTAATTGTTGTTCCATTTTAGGTCGCTAATTGTGCTATGAGTTCTGAAAGTTACATCTGTGTGTCATAGACCATCTATCCATTATCTAATCACTTTATCCAATGCAGGTTTGTAGATTACAGAGAGACTGTAATTGGCAATGGGCACAAGACATAATAATCCCTGGGCAGGATACCAGTCCATCACACAGACACAGACAGGCACTCACACCAGGACCAGTTCTCCCAGAAGCCAGAGAAAACTCACATAAAGGTGGGGAGAACATGCAAACTCCACCGAGAGTGGATAGCACCCCAGGTCCATAATTGAATCAGGGCCATAGCAAGGCAGCAGTGTTAACCACTGCGTCACCATGTCACCTGAAGGTTCCACAGCCGAAACGTTGAGACTATTTTCTTTTCAGCCTTTACTTGTTCCTTTACTGTGCCACAATGCCACTCTATGTAATAAACCATTTTTTTTTCAAAAATAATACTGTTGATTCCTTAATTTATCGTAAGTAGTATAACTCCAAATCTAAATGTTTAGAACTAAAATCCTATGTGTATTCATACAAGTCTGTCTATTAGTATCGCACCAGTAGAGAAAAATGTTTTGTAGTGAATTCATCTTCCTCACAATGTATAGTACATACAGAAATGCTGATAAACAAACACACTGATGAAGAATATACTCAAGTATTGAATGCTTATATCTTTCATTGTTCTTTTTTTAATTAAAGCCACTTTGACAATTTAATTCAAATGAAATAACAAAACATTGAACACAAGCTGTTTAACTTGAGTTAGTATTGTACTATTCCAATAAACAGTGAATTCAAGTTTATTTTTATTTTCATCTTGTATTTTTGGTTTGCCTTTTTGTTTCTTTATTCAACTTTTACTTTTATTTAGTATTAATATTGTATTTAAACATTGAGTTATTATGTAAAACATAGACTGCTGCATTTTCATTGTAGATCATTATAGAATGCTTGATACTTTAATTATACCATTTATATAATTAAATCCATTGTAGATTTTCTATAATTTATGTATTGACTAAATCGTATACTATAAACACTTGAATTGAAGGTTTAAGTGAACTCTGATGTGTGTGTCTGATAATTTCCTGTTATGTGACAGAATATATTTTATAATGCAATTGTGTTTTCTGTACCTATATAACCAATGGTGTTTTCTCATCTGCAGCATCAGCAGGAATTGCTGTTTCACAAAGGAAAGTTAGACAGATTAGTGATCCAATCCAGAGGATTCTTATTCAGCTTCACAAAATTATCTACATTACACAGGTGTGTATCTGTCTCCTTCCACCACACTAAATCTGGCTACGTTATGGGTTACTGGCAAGGTCATCAGGATGCATCTTTAGAATCATACAGCACAATCCAAAGTCATCTTTATTTTGTTTCTGGATACAGGCACTATTTATCTTCTTTAATATGACATGGTATTTAGCTGTAAAGTAATACAACATATATTTTTCAATATGTCTTCATTATATGTACACGAAAACATTAATGACCTTCTTAAGATGACAGGAAAGACTTCCAAATTAATAATCTGGAGCAATCATTGTTGTTATGATTTATTAGGTTCTATTATACAGTATATAATCATACAAATGTGACTTCTGGAAAGATCTTTCCCCAGTGCATTTTTAACAAGCCTACATTCAAGCCTACAAAAAAATAAAAACAAAGATTATAATATGCACAGTTATTACTATATTTTCCTCTTAAATCTGAACAGTGAGTTCTTCAAGAATTTAACTAATTACAGTCAGTTCTGACTGAAGGTAGACTTGATTTTTTTGGTTGAAATCTTCATTTAATTTAATGAAACTATAAAAATGGAGATTTCTAGTGCCCTGTGTCAGGTAATTTTTCAATTTTATCTGTCTTTCTCTTTTCATTTACATTGCATGCTGTTTATATATATTTTAGGGGAAAAGTTTTGATTCATGTAGAAATGTACTGGATCAACTCAAACAGATACATGAAAGAACTGTTAAAGTTTTCTGCATTATGGAAGTACAGCCAGTGCTAAGTATAGCAATTCTATGCATAATTAAAGATGTCGTTTCTCACACAGTACTGGTGTGCTTTCTTTTCAGCTTTCTCCTGCTTTGCACCACAACTTCAAACGAAGAGCGATTGAGAGGTTCAAAAAATCCCTCTTCCATCCTCAGAGCAATCCCTGTAACTTGAAAACAGAAATTAAGAAGGTTGGTTTAATATTTCCAACATGACAAGCTTATCTTTAGGTGTGCTGTTTGCTCTATAATGATTTTATTGAGGTAGAACTGTAAGAAACTGTAATGTAAGAAAATACTTTTTTTGTAACATTTCTAAATTCTTCCCCCCGGAAATACATTTTTAATCATGTCAAAGCATTTCAAGGAAATCATTTTAATCCACTTTTAGTTATTTGGTCATGTTTGTTATTATTACTTGTTTGATACATTTGTTTGAATACCCCATCTTGAATCATAAAAAAATCAAACTGAATTGAAGATGTGAACTGTGCCGTAGAAGGCTAGAGTGCTCATTCCACTAACAGTTCTAATTAGTAAGATAAGCACAAACTGTAGATTATTAAAGGACTTTATTGTACTGTACAATGTGCTGTTCATTTAATGAATGTTGTGAATGAATGAGCAACTGTGAGCACAAACTGATAAACATGCAGAACAAATTGTGTACAGAGATGGGGAAATGTGGGGACAAATTTAGAAGGTATTTAGAAGTTAAGGAATTAGAACAAACCAAGTACAATTTGTGTACAGATTAATCCAATGCACACCTGTTCATATGTTTATGGCTAAAAAACAAATGCGCTGACTCACGGCTCTCTGAAACAATAGTGAAGAAACCTGACCTGTCTGTTGTGGTGGAAAGGCCATTCAATTAAATTGGCTTTGTCATCAGAAGCATTGATCTGTGCAGTGAGGCTTACATAAAGGCTAAGAAATTCAATACTCAGTATGACTTAATACCACTGCTAATGCCTCATTTTGGCTGAAATGTGTGAAAATCATTTGCTTTTGTTCTCTAGAATAATAAGTATAAGCATTTACTCTGTGATTTAAATTTTTATCTCCAATAGGATTATAAAGATGCAAATGCAGCAACAGACAATATTTGTATGGGAAGGAGAAATAACAATTTTCTAAACCTATAAATACAGAGTAGGAATTTTAGCTGAACTTTGTTGAAGACGTGGAAGAAAAAGAAAACTTATTCTGAAAGTTTCACGCAGAAAACTTTCAAAGTTGTCCTGCATATTTGTAGCAACACAGGCAAAGTCATGGTAAAGCGAATCTCTCTGTCATTGCTTAGTGAGTATGAATAACAGAAGGGAAGGGATTTCGTTTGCTGAATGATTTATTACAGGAACAAAACGAGCATGTGGAAATTACTCTGTCCATATGTTGTTGCATTACTATAATTGTTTGCTCACCGTCTGCAATGATTGACAACAGTTCTACCTTAGTCAGGTCTGAACTTGGGCTTAATAAACCTTTGTGTTGTCCATTTTATTCACAGCTCCTACAGGGCTCTCCAGAACTCATAGAGCCCAGCTGTGTTAGTACAGAATGTCGATTTTTATGCCAGTCCTTAGGGGGAAACCCAGTGTCTCCTGAGGATCAAGGTAAGGCATAATTTGCATTACAAAGTCTAATTTATAAGGATATGTGTATTAATAATACATTTCCTTCACCCCTTTCATCATATGTCAGTTATTTGACTTTAGTTTAAGACCTTGAATTTCTGTTTTCAGAGAAGAATAATTTGATGTTACACCGGAATGTATAATTGCTGTGAACGTCAATGTCTTCATACTGTAGCTGTCTTAAAAGAAAATGGAAGGGTGCAAATGGGGATGTCAAGGTTATTTTGGTGTCATTTGAAACTTTTTTTTTATTCATCTAGAGTTCTGGATTTCTTTGGTGCCATTTGTCCACAAAGAAAGAGCAACAGCTTTAAACAAATTCTTTCTAACCACATGAAAACATTGTGATGCCTGTTATTTCATAGAGGTCAGGACTCTGTTCAGACATTCTTTTCAGACCTTATGAAACTGTGACTGAAAAGAAAAAGAATCTTAGCTGTTGATGTCCTTGACTCCTTAAATGTCTTACCATCACCTAGAATCAAATATTCAAGTGCCTCACCAGGATCTTGCACAGTATTAACATTGTTTATTACTTCTGGAAATGTCTCTTTCTGGAGTGGGTTTTTACAGTGCCCTTCAAATTTATTCATACCCCCCGAAGAAAGTGCAACAATAAACTTCAAATGACAGAAAGATTTACAGATTGAGCGTTTCTTTTTTAACACATGTAAACATGTTTTATGGTAATCTTAGTAGCAACACACAGAACAAAGTCATTTTTCATCCATAATTAAATCCAGAAAAAAAAGGATTCGATTTATTACATACAGTAGGAATTGGACTGACTTCATGCCTCCTGTATTGTGTTATAAAGTCCCGGAACTTCATAGAGGAGAAACGTATGAACATTACTCCATGTGGATGCATCTGCTTCTACTGGATGTTCTCTTTGTGTTACCTCCTTTTATTCTCCAGTGAAAATAGAAACCTTCAGTTGACTTTATATGCTATAGTTCTAGATGTTTCCATTGCACTTCCAAAAAAGCAGCACGTTATTTTAGATTTGTTTCTGCTGACATTTAGTTAATATTTAGGAATACTTATGTTTTGATAATGTGACCTTCTTTTCTGGAATTCAGTTATTTGAGACAAATATGCGCCATGCAGTAATACCTTGGTTTATACTATAGGTATAAAATTCAGAAATATCAATGGTGCCCTGAATAGGGGTATGTCTGCTGCTTGCAATGGGTGTTGTCTGTTTTTGTGTACTCTAGCAAATTTAATGCAGTATGTTTATGACACATGAAATAAACAGCTTGAATATTCATGGTAAAAAAAGGCACAGTAACAATTTTCATTGTGTGTGCTGATTGCAATTATTTAAAAAGTCAGAAGATCCAGAAAGCATATATATACAGTATAAATCCTATTTATATTTCTAATTTAATTCTTAAAAAATGCTATTAGTGATTTAAAGGACATTCCTGCAATAACGGACACTATGAGTTCCCACTATTAGTCTATTGTTTAAGAAAGATTATCTGTAACCCGGGACTGTTTTTTGTTCCTATGTTATTGGGGATAAGAATACATTTGAAGGGCACTTCACAGAAATATGCTAATACATCTGTCTTAACCAGTTCACTACAAACCCTCATTGTAGCATGGCTGTTTTGCAATCTTTTGCTTTGATCACTTGTACAGACTCACAGGTAATCCAGATTTCTGGTACAATGCCCTGCAGACAAATACTGTAGTTATTTTCAATACAGAAAAAAACTGAAAATGACAAATCAATGTACTAAACACCTAACTATACAAAATGTTATACATTTATTTCTTTAATTCTCTTCCTTAGCCAATTTTTTTTATCAAAATGGTCATGTTTATGATTGATTAAATATTTGAAAATATAATTTTATTTGTCTTATCTAAAACACAATTTTAAGTTAAAAGCTTAAGATCAATAAGACTGAAGAATGCCGAAACGTAATACAAGTCAATGCTGAAGTTTATAGTACAATATATGGTGAAAAAAGATCGATGCACCTTTGTTGCGCTGCCTTTGCGATGCATTTGTGTTTTTGCATATTTAAATGTTTCAAATTTTACACAATAGATGCATTAAAACAAAATGAGTGCCCTGTGTGTAATACCTGTAATTGTATGTACTTGCATTGTTAACCGCCTTGGGGCAACCTTGTTGTGAAAGGCGCTATATAAAAATACATTAAATTGAATGTAGGACCTTTGAAGCTATTTTCTCCTTTTCTTCTTAAAGTTCTTCTTTTTCTTGACTTTTTTACAAGTAAAGTCCATTTTGTTTCATAAAATATTCCTCTTCAATAAAAGAGTATTGACCTTCAAAGAAATATGAGTGTTACCCTACAACTTCAACTATTCACAGGTAACTCAGGAAATATGAAGTATCAGGATGGCGTGACATATGAGCAAATGCAGGTTAGTCTTGTAAAGCAAATTTTTTGCACTGTATAAACCAGATGTCTAATTTACATGAGAATTAATCTGAGGCTTCTCCCCCCAAAAAAGAAAAAAATCTTGCTAATCAATCAAAAATTAGCTTCCTAAGCAGAGATAATTAAATATCTGTAATTTTAATCAGAGCATCTTCAAATTAACATTTACCTTCATAGCACACTTTGGAAAGGATAGAAATTTGCCTTTCCGGATGAATTAGAAATAATTGAAATTATCTAGCATCAGTGGAATTTACCAATTAATAGGCATGGGTGCTGTACTGATTATTGTAGGTCTCTATTAAAATGTAAACAGGAGCAGGATACTACATTCTTATATTTTACATTAGAACGACACCACTGTCACTTGCCACTTGCTGTATTTAAATGATAATTGTATTGCCATTATGCTGTTATACATTAGCTACAGAGACATTTGTTTCCAGCTGCGTAATCAATATCAATAGTATAGAGTGTATTACATTTGTCAGCTAATAAGCCATACTTTCTTAAATCCCAGTTTTCTTCATGTGCACAGGGAATTCTTGACAGTTTTTTAATTGTAATGTCCCAAAATATTGTCTTAATACTTTGCAAGAACAAGTTGATTTGAAACAAACGACTTACTTGTAATTTAACCTTTTCTATAGAAGAGAGAAGAGATTTTTCTGCCCGATTTTAAATACCTTATATGGGAATATACAAAACAGCTTTAGAAGTAACTTGTTTGCTCCTAATGCAGATGAAACCTTTAATATTTTACTAGTAAGAATAAAAATATACATTTTTTTTAATTGCTACTTTAGACCATGATTGAAGAGGTTCTTGAAGAGAATGGATACTACAGTTCCACATCAAATAGGTAAAGTATGGTAGATCCTTTTGAAACATAAAATCTGAAAAGTAGAGATGCAGAAAAGGTATTTAAGAGGCATTGTATTTCAATTATGTTTCCCACAATCCATTGAGCTCCATGTTTATTGCAGGTGTAGTGTATTTCAGTAAGGACAAATGTTCCAGCATATGCAGGAAAATTTAAGTGCATTCAAAAATATATTTTTTTTCTTTTGAAGCTATTGTGGAGGTACAAGAAAAAACGAAAATGATGATTGCTTATCCATTTCATGGAACTTTAAAAAATGGCAAATCAGTTTTTAAACTGTACCTCAAAGTATATTTCAACATTTCAAGGTGAATTCTGGCTTCCTGATTGCGGTTCTTGTATATTGTAAAAATAATCAAAGCAGGAAGAAAGGAAGGCTTAAAATAATTGACCAAGAGAAATCAGTGTCATTCAGTAATTAGCACCATTCTGAGTGAATCGTAAACCTTCTTTTCATTTTCTGTAATGAACATGGCCAGGTTCCAATCATGCTGAGATGCTGCAGAAATTGTTTTAAAGAGTTTTACATTCAGGAAAAGGTGTAAATGATTTCCAAGTGGCTCAAGAAGTAAAAGTTTTTACAACCAACAAAGCGTACATTAGGGGGTTTTGAGTGCAGGTGGATCCCAATGTTGTGAATTTGACCTTGCCACCGAGAGCAGGGTTGAAATTATTTGAATCCCTTGGCTTCTAGAGAAACAGCGACTCTTCCGGTTTTCAGGCGCTCAGACTTGGGGTGATGTGAGTGAGAGCTGTTTCCCTTCTCCAATCAGCGTGGATCATCCTGTTGCATTGCTGCAGACCTGTGAGCCTGTTAAGAGATGAATGACTTGATGGATAGTCAGATGTCTGCACTGCCCCCATTCTGCCTGTACTACCAAGTAGTAAAAACAAGTCCCAGCAACCTCCGTTTCACCACAAACAGCATTACGACAGCCATCAAAAGTAAACAAAATGTTTGACTTTAGCTAAGAAGGTTTCAACTTGTTTGGTGACTCTGACATCTTCATATCCCGTGTTCCAAAGGAGAAGTGATGGAAGGTGTGGAGAAGATTAAGATGTGGTTATGAGACACTTCTCTCGCAACGCCTCCATTTCAATATGTTTAAACCAGGAATCTGAAGAAAGTAACCACTTGGGATGTGCTACCCTTGACTGGAAGACAGCTTCTTACACTGCTACATTTATAAGGACTGTTTTTCTTGGAAAAGTTACCTGCACAGACAAGGCAGGTGAGGTGGGCCCTATTCTTCTCCCGATTTGATTTCTGAGTTTCCTACCAACCTGGGTCGAAGAATGGAATGACCAGCGCCATGTCCCACATCTATTCCCATGCTGGGGTTTCCACAGATACAGGGCCCATTTTACAGTACCTGCCACCTGCATTCTAGGAGCTACACTACTGGAGGTGGTAGAGACACTATTGGCAGTACTGGCCTCCAATACGGCTCCTCCCGAAGCTCTTCTGGACAAACTATTCATTCCTCTCTCTGCCAGACCAGAGGTACTGTTATGGGGCTACAGCTCCAGGCTCACAGGTCACCCAGACACTCAACACTCAATGGAATTAATCCATCAGGACTTCTGTGAAATCCGACATTGAGTTCTTTGTGGCCACATCCCCATCTGTAACAGGGCCAAGAACCCAAGAACATCTATGGCAGGTCACCTCCAGTCTCCTTTCAATCCTCATCACCAGTGGTCCTCCAACTTGCCAAACTTTATTACTGGTCTTCCCCACTCTTGAGGTTGCTCTATAATCCTCTCAGAGGTTGATTGATTCTCCAAGGCCACACACTTTAACCCATTAGGCCAGCTACCGTCAGCTCCTCAAATAGCTGATGAACTGTCCTGTAACATCCTGTGCAGCACTTCCACGGGTATGTCCCCCCTTCCAGTGCCTTTATGACAACCAGCTTCCACTCCTCAGGCTGTCCCCAGATTCTGCAAACCTTTATTCTTGCCGACAGGAATGTGCGGGATCTTGAAGGGGTTTGGTGTCACGTACAGGACAGCCCTTCTGGGCAGTGCTCCGTTTTTGTCACCACTGTGCCATTCCACCTCTGAAGCCTGGCCAAAGAGTCTGGTTGTCAACCAAGCACCTCCAGTTGTGGGTACCCTCAAGGAAGCTGGGTTCTCACTTCATCAGTCCCTCCCGGATCACTGAACAGGTGAAACCAGTCACCTGCTGGCATGCTCTTTACCGCCAGTTCGGACAATGAATCCCGTTGGCTTTTCACATATCATTGCTGAAACTTGCTCTGACCAGCACCCTGGTGCAAGATTTAACCCAACCCTCGTCCCCTCCCGTTGGTCGAGGAAAGCTTACAATACTTTGTGCGTTGGCGGTACGCTGGTGGTTCCTGCAAGGGACTGTGTGTCTCATCCCTTGTAGACTCTTTTAATTTCCTCCCAGAGGTCACCAGTTAAGGGGGGGGAGGTACAGTAATACTTGTGCAAACCTAGGCTCACATCAGCATGTCGCTATGGAAACCAGATGTATCTCCATGAAGGTCAAATCATCAACCGCTCCCATAGCAATTTGGGTGTTTTTCACTACCACCAGCTTCTAATTAATAGGTACTTATCTCATTAACTTCAGGTATTCAAGTCCTGCTTCAGCATTAGTCCCATGCTCAGTCATTGCGTTTGCTTCCCTTGAGCCTATCGCATTTCTAGCTGCACTTCACTGTTAATCCTGGCTCTAGCTTAGTTCCTTGCTTTGCTTCGCTGTGCTCGGACACTTCTTGTGTTCACAACTGTCTCTTCGATTTGCTCTTTATTATGGACTCAGCTTCCCCTTGCCTCCCCTCTCATTGCGGTACGTTCAGCTTCGCTCTTGCCTGTCTGGTAGCTGACTCCTCAGAGCCCCGAAAGTGGATGGACTTTTCAGCTTTGTGACCACTTCCCTCACCAGGTCAGTGCATATCACTACATAAGGGTTCTTATACACTTCCATATTACATAAATTCCTTTATGAAAGTGTGGAGTAAAAAACCCCAAAACATCTAGTTAATTTCTAGATGCCATCTGGCCGTGCACTAAATGTTTTCTTTTGCATTGATTGTAGGGATCATTTTTATCCATGGGGAAACAAGAGCCTGCCTGCTTCAAGGAGATAATTATTTTCCAGCAGCAAGTGTGATATTGTCAGAATTTTGAAGTCATACTGCCAGAATCTCACAGAACAGACAAATGATTAACAACAGTCCCAGTTGTTCTTAGAAACTGACTTTGGGAGCTAATCTGTGGGTCCCCTATGCAATGGATCTTATTGGAAGTTTTCTACCCATGCTTTAAATGTGTTTTCCACTACTTTCCATAGGTCTAAAATTATCTTGCCAGGAATAAATAAAGGTGAAAATAGTATACAATCCAGTTGATGTATGTTATGAACTTCAAATATGAGAATAAAATGTCTCTTAGCTTTCAACAAGGCACTGCTCAGAAAATGAAGGGTGGTTGTATAGATTTATTGAACTCTTACTGTAGAATATCTTTGTTCTCAACACTGTACAAAGAAAAGTTTTCTCATTGAGTAAAGGTAGAACGAGAACACAGATCTGATTGCACAAAAAAGGGGCTTTACTTTATGTAAGATTCACCCTGATTTAAACTTGAAAATGCATTTCATGAGATGGAAAATAAAAATAAAGCAAAATAAGTTTTCATTAATAATTTCGTGTCTTCAGAATATAATTAAATGTAGTATTAACAAAATTAATAATTTTGGTGACAGAAAAAACATGTTTCTAAGTTTCCACTGTAGTATATTCAGATACCGTTTATCAATTGCATCCTATACTTTAGGTGTTAAACCCTTATTTTCTAAATATTGCACTCTCGGGCAAGGATAATTCATTAGCTAGGTCTGCACAGAGTGGATATTTCTGTCATATCCATTACTTAATTACAACAAAAGGCTTCGGAGTTGGCTCTTGTACCCCTTTCTTACACCAGCTGTTGGTAGTGTACTGTAGGAGTCCAGACAAAGCAGAAACTAAATGTAGTGTGGTATTCAAGTACAGTATGCAGGCTCTTACAGGCTTGAGAGCAGCTGTGTCCCCAGGTACTTGTAAATGACTATAATTTCTTAGCTGGACCTTCTTTGTGCCACTGCAGTTTGTCAGAGAAGATGATGTTGCTATGGAATCCTGTATATTGCAAAGCAGTGTTTTCCTAGACTTTTTTTTTCTCTCTGCTCTGTAAATTAACCCTTTTGGGACACTTTGACACTTTATTTTTTTCCCCATAATGCTGTTAAAACAACTGATAAAGGGCACGAATAAAGGGAAATTGAGACAATTATCATGAGAAGAAATGAAAAATGGATCTGTTTTTTTTTCAGTCAAGTTATGCCTTTCCGCAGTTCTTGTGTTCAATCAACACGTGGTTGGTAATAGGCAGGGAAAAAAGTTTCGACACCCTTTTGTGAAAAAAAACAAACTTTATTTTATATAGCGCCTTTAAAGGTGGCTTCTCAAAGCACTTTACAGGATGACAATAACAATGAATAAGAAGAATACAACAATAAATAAGAAGAATACACAAGATAAGACACAATTACAATTACAACAATACAACAATAACAATAGAGGAGACCGTGGAAGGGGTACTAAGAAGAGCAGAGGGGTGAAGAACGGAACCAGTTAAGTAAAGGCTTTTCTGAAGAAGAAGGTTTTGAGTCTAGATTTGAAGGAGTTTAGAGAAGGTGACTCTCTGATATCCTTGGGCAAAGAGTTCCAGAGCTTTGGGGCATAGCAGGAGAAGGCCCTGTCGCCCATACAATGTAGATGGGCTTGGGGGACAGTAAGGAGGGCAGAATTTGAAGAGCGGAAGTTGCGAGGTGGGGAGTAGGGCGATAATAGTTCAGACAGGTATTGAGGTGCCAAGCCATGTAGAGCCTTATAGGTGAGCATGAGGATTTTAAAGTCTACACGGAATTTGACCGGAAGCCAGTGCAAGGACTCCAGGATAGG